TCTCTCTCTCTCTCTCTCTCTCTCTCTCTCTCTCTCTCTCTCCTTTTTGCATTTTAGGTAACAAATAAGGATGCAACTAAAATCAGCGTAAGTGTGGAGCCCTGCGTGGGCCGTGGGAGACCCCTTCTGGCCGCTTTGCGCCCCGCAGCTCCCTGCACTTAGAAAGCCTTTGCGGGACACGAGTTGCAGAGCTCTAACTGGAATGCAGTGTAGGATGCTTGGCATATCTGGGCGCCATCTGTCGCCCATAGAGGGATTGAATTCTCTTTTGTGTAAATCAGTGATCCAGACCTGAGTCCCTCAACTCCGCTGAGCACTCACCTATAAAACTCTTGCCATGGCCCCACAGCGCTCAGACCCAGAGCAGCCTGCTCCCTCCTTTGCTTGGCAGTCATTTCTCTCAACCAGACAGCGCAGCTTCCCACCCTTTTTTGGCCCCACCCTGCATGCACGCGGGGCTCCCCTGCAGCAGCCTCTGCCCAGCCTATCTCCTTCCTGACTGCAGTGCTAGTGTACTGAGTGGAGGGCTGTTTTACATTGGCCTCCATAGGGATCCTAAAGCTGAATTGTGGAAGTAGCAGGGTTTGAAGACCACAGGAGCCTCTTCGTGGGCTCTGTTAAGAGGTGAGGGTTGTCCACGTGCTTGGTGAGAGCCACTGAGCCTAGAGTGGCCCCCTGGGGAAGAAGGCCTTTGTCAAGGGCTTCAGACTACCTCCCAAGAGAAAGGCAGATCCTCCCAAAAGGGTCAGTTCTTTGGAAGGCCCTGGCTAGCCGTAAACGGAGGGGTAAAGTGGGTGTATTTGTGCACACACCGGCAAGCCAACATCCTCTAGGATACAGCCCAGGCCCTCTGGGTTCTAGGTAAAAGCAGGTGGTACTGTGTTACTTGGGGACTTAAAGCTATGTCCTACAGCGGTAAGAACTTGGATGATTAGAGGCCTATAGGCCCACCCTGTGGTTTTTTTAAAGGTCGGGGGAGAAAGGAAGAGGTGAGTTCTGAAGGGAAACTACAGGAAAACCCCAAGCTAGTGTAGATGAATTAGTTGAGGTGACGGGGAACTGGGGATCCAACAGTGCGCGTAGCAAAAAGATGTCCAAGCAGAACTGGGAGTGCCATGCCACTTAGGAAATATTGGAGTGCTCTGGCAAGGTGGTGCAATGGCAGGGGCAGGGGCAGGCGCAGACAGCCCCAGTGTAGAGTTTCCGGCCGGCCTCTAACCTCGCTGTCTTCCAGACGGTGCGTGTCCAGGGCAACGACATCTCGCACCGGCTGCGGCTGTCTGCCGTGCGATTGCAGGACGAAGGCGTGTACGAGTGCCGCGTGTCCGACTACAGCGACGACGACACTCAGGAACATAAGGCCCAGGCACTGCTGCGCGTGCTCTCGCGCTTCGCGCCGCCCAACATGCAGGCTGCGGAGGCGGTGTCTCACATCCAAAGCAGCGGCCCACGTCGCCACGGAGCCTCCAGCGCTGTCAGCTCCAACACCGCGGGCATGGCGGACCGCACCACCTCTGAACCTGGCCACGGTGACCAGAGCCCGCCTCCCGGGAGCCCTCCCTCCAGACCCGGAGTTCCAGAGGTCGCCGCTGCCTCCGCGACCCACACAGCCATCACCACCATTCCAGCTGCTGCGGCTGCTTCATCAGCGTCGCCGCCACCCGGCCAGGCGGTCCTTCTGCGCCAGAGGCATGGCTCCGGTAAGGGCAGCCTCCCTCTCCTCCCCAAGGGTCGCGCATGGGTTGGAAGGATGCCAAGCCGCCAAGGATCCGCTGGTGGTGCTCCGTCAGTTGTTTGGAGCGTGGTTTCTGTTGCCTCTTTCTTGTGCTCTCTGGGGTGGTCTCCTAGTGTTTTGGCCCATTGAAGCATTCTATTGGTTTATTCATGACTAGTAGGGCTGCTGTGGTGGTGCTGAGGCTGGGCTGTAAAGATGTCCCCTCATGGGCTTTGAGAGCTTCCAAGGAGCCCCAAGTTTGGAGAGAGTTATTCCCCAGTTGGGAATAAAGCCATATAAGCAGGCTGCTGTTATCTCTGTTGGTTGGCTGTCTTTGAACAGACTGTCCTAGAGGATGCAGGCAGTTTGGCAGTGCTCACAGCTAAGTGCAGGATGCACCTAGGCAGGCGTGGCTCTGCGGCCTGTTATAAATCACAGTTCCAGTTGTCCTTGGCTCCTGAGACGGAGGTTAAGGAGAGTACAGCACTGTGAAGGAGGTGTACAGGGAGGACTGAAGTTCTGCGGAGCTGGGGTAGAGAATAGTAAAGAGCAGGACAAGAAAAATGAACTTGTAGGCCCTGGGAGTGTGGCCCTGGGACAGGCTGTGTAGCAGTGGTGAGGGTTTGAGGTGCCCAGGATAGCCGTGGCTATTCCACCTCTCCTCAAAAGATACTCCCTGCCCCCACCCACCTCAGAAGGGACCTTCAACTCCAATACTCACCCCTAGTGTCTGGGTTTTAAGTAATTCACTCCCTGGCTGAACCCCTCCCCTCAGTCTTGTGTGATGCCATGGAAGAAATCTCTCCTGGCATTATAGTCCCAAGTCTAGGACAGTCACTTGGAAGGGATAGGATGGGGCACACTGTCATGCCCCCAGTCTGGCTGTTCTTAAAGTGCCTTCTGCTGCTGCCCGCTAAGGACAGGGGCTTCTGGTCTGTTCCTGCTTAATCCGAGGTGATAGGCCTCACATCCTCATCCTATCCTACCCTCTTGCTGACCTCCTGCCCTTGAACTGGTGCATTCTGAGTATGAGTTCTGTTCTGTTTCTCCTTCAGTTACTTCCCCTGTGGGAGCTTGTGTTGTGTCTTCCCCATGGGAGTTTTGTGTGACTCCCTCCGTGCCCCCGCCATGGGACTTTGCTCTATGTTGTCCCCGTGAGAGCATTGCCTGTAATCCACCCCCCATGAGAGCCTGTGCTTTATCCTTTGCTCTTATTTGGGAGCCTACTCAGTGCCTCCCCCATGGGAGTCTATTTCGTGATCCCCTCCCCCATGGGATCCTGTTCTGTGATTCCCTCCCCCATGGGAGTCTGTTCTGTGATTCCCTTCCCCATGGGAGCCTGTTTGGTGATCCCCTCCCCCATGGGAGCCTGTTCTGTGATCCCCTTCCCCATGGGAGCTTGCTCTGTGTCTTCCCTGTGGAAATCTGATGTGTCTCCACCATAGGAGACTGAACTGTGTCTCCCTTCTCTGTGGATCTGAAGCCTTTGTCCCTTTTAGCTCCACAGAGAGACCTACAAGACTTTCTTCCAGGCCAGGGGGAGGGTGGGTCAGCTGCAAACATTCCCCACCTTCCTTATCTAACTTGGAACTTTTTCACCATCTGTATTAATTTAAGATAGCACTAGGTGCTATGACAAACCCCAAAATGTTAATAGCCTGACACATTTCAAATTTATTGTCATATTTGCATCGCATCTTGCCCTGGAGTGGGGGTGGGATGGCTCTGTTCAAGCAGTCATTCAGAGGCCCTGGCTGACAGACTGGAGGAGCTTCAGCAACTGGTTCCCAGAGTCCCCCCTCCAGGGAGCAACATATGGTGGCATGTGAGGGAATGTCCCCCTCAACCCAGTTCCTAGAGAGAACAGCCCTGAGACTGTATGGTGTGCATGGTGAACGCTGAATGTCCTTCTTTCCTGTGCATCTAGAATGGTTCACATGTATGCAGCATTTGGGAGAAACTGAGGAAAATGTCACCCAAATCATTCTGTAGTGTTTCATTTTCTCTGAGAAAAGTCAGTCAGGAATAGCACGGTGGGTTTCTAAGGATCAGGCCTAGAGGTGGCAGACATCATATCTGCCACTGACAATCATGTGGTTCAAGACAGATGCAAGGGTTTGTGGGAAATGTACTGGTTGACTCGGCAAATGCTTCTTTCTGTAACAGAGGGGAGCACAAGTCTTTTGGGGAGCTGTCTCTGGCACACAGTGGGAATGTTAGGAAAGAGTCTATACTGACAAACTGATTGGCCTAATTGCTGCTGGTTGATAAAAGGGTCCTTCTGCCTGTCCTCTTGGGATATAAGAAGTGATGCTTGTGTGACAGGCTGGAGTTGACCTCTGGAATGTTCCCCAGAGTAGCTAAGTGGTAAAACAGTTGATCTGAAAGACAGAAGCCCAGATAAGAGTCATGTCTTTGCTCTTTACTGGCTGTGTGATTTCAGGTGAATGGTTTAGTTTCTCTGTGCCACCTGTAAAATGTTAGTCACACTTTCTATTGCTGTGACAAAGACTTGAGAGAAATCACTTAAAAGGAAGTTGGGCTCATGGTTTCAGAGATTTCAGTCATGTTGGTTGCTTCATTGTTTCTGAGGCACACCACCATAGCTGGAAGCATGTGGTGGAGCAAAGATGTTCACCTCATGGTGGGCGGGAGACAGAGCACACCAATAGGAGCAGGGCCCAGGTGTAATCTTCGAGGCACTGTCCCCCACCCTAATGACCTACTTCTTAAAGTTCTCATCACCTTCCCAAATGGGACCACCAACTGAGCCCACAAGGAACACTTCATATTCAGTCTCCAGGAACAGGGGATCCCTAACCACAAAGGGAGCTGAGTATGGGAATTTCTGTGCA